TTGTAGAATACTCCTGAATTTGCATTTTTTCCGCTGTTTTCTCATAATTAGACAAGGGTTATGGGTTTGGGGGAAGAAAACTGCAGTCACAGTGCCATTTTCACCACATTGTACTGAGAGCACATACTACGGACATGATTTAGCACTGTCAGCGTTCGCCTTGATCACCAGGCTGAGGTACTGTCAGGTTCCAAGGGATTCTAATGTAAATGAATTTTAAAAGCCTCTGGTGCCCCCAGGAAGATACAAACTCCTTAGTTTAGCATAAAGAGCCCTCACAGACATGTCCTTTCCTCCATTTTCATCTCCAAATCCATCACTTCCTGACTTGCTCTTTGGAATAACAAACCACTTGTGTCCCCCCAACCCCCCTTGGCCTCCCCATACACCCCAAAATGCCATTCATGTTCTACTTCAAAAAGCTATCAGGTTAGACTGCAGATTACAAATCAGATGCTGCCCCCCTTGGCCTCCCTCCTCCTCTCTCACAAATATTTGCCAGCTTATTTTTGCAAAGTCAGCAGAACATGACCAGCAGAAACTGGTCTGAGCAGAGTCTAACAAGTTCTTGAGCAGCCCTGCTCTAGGGCTCCTGTGCGAACTCCAGAAGCCGTGACCAGGAGTAACCTTACGATGTCACACCCTACAATTCTGCTTACAGGTCCCCCAATATGAACGTGCAACCATGAAAAAACCCTCAGGCCACCTCTGAGGGATCTTCATACCTTCCCTTTCCCTGACCAGTCCTGTCTTCTCCCTAACCCCCTGCCCTTATCTTAAACACCCCACACCCACTATGAACTGAGGGGAGATGGATCTGAGCTGGCCTTCCTCCTCAAATCTGCTGGACGGGCCCAGTCAAAGCTTTTTTTCCTCCCGTAAAATCCATCAGTCTGTTTGCTGCGGGCTGAGCCCAATTCCTGTGTTGGATACACTTCCTGCTTTGGTCACAGTTTTGAGTTTCATATTTTCATGAGGTTTTCATATATGCAAAAATTAGTTTTTCTCCTGTTAGTCTCTTTAATGTTAATGTAAGTATTAGGCCAGTCAAACAACCTAGAAGGAAAGAAGGGAAAAATTTCCGCCCCTATAAAGTGTTCATCCTGAGCCAATAGCACTTAGAATAATAGGTAATCAAGAAATATTTGTTAAATCAGGTGCTAAACACAAATCTCACCATTCTAAATATCAGAGAAAATCATCTGTAAGTCCGTTCCTCCTCCTCCAGTTTGTGAAATTAATTAATTTCAAATGTCAAGGAAAGGTATTTAAGAGGGTTAGCAAGCCTCAGTGCTCTCTACCACAACAGCCTATTTATTACCATGCATTTCCACTAATATTCTTAAATTCTTTGCTTGATTTTTTATTTTTATTTTATTTTTTAAAATATTATTTATTTATGCATACAAGAACTGCGGTGCAGGCCAGAGGCGTGGGGGGTGGTGCGAGGATTCACCAGAGACAGAGTTGGGACCAGAACAGGCAGATCACTGCAGAGGGGAGCAGTGGGTGAGACAGGAGAGGTCTGCTGCACCATGTGGGTCAGCTCTCTGGCTGGGGATCTAGCTTGTGCTGCTGAGGCTGGAGATAGCTTGAGAGCGCTGTGTCTTTAACCCCTGCACCACCAGGGAGGCCCAAGCTTGATTTTTCAAATTGCTCTTACAGCCAATAATTTTCTCCAAAAACATAAAACAATACTTACACGGTTCCTGTTGCTATGATTCATTCTAGCATTACTTTCTTAGATTTCAAAAGAGGACCGACTGAGGCAGGCACTGACACGTGAGTAGCTACATGGCTTTCCTGGCAGTACCTGTCAGGTAGTTGAATTGGGAGCATATATCAGCACATTGCCCTTTAGAATCCACCTCCCAAGGTTATATCCAAACCACCTTAATGGGGGCAACACAAAGGGCAGAGACAGCAGGTTTACCGGCAATGGCCTCATCCATCACTTTCCTAGCCAGCAAATAGAGACTGATGAGGGTGCTTGGCCACAGCTTGGGCAGGGGGTTCACACTCTGCTCGCTGTGCTCCATCCTTGCATCCTGCTCCAAACATTTCCGCTCAGATGTTTGCTTTGGAAGGCAAATATTGATAATTGCTGCCACTGGCTTTTTCATCAAATGCTTGCCTCTGTGATATACATTCATTGCATCGTTACTTTCCTTCAACTTCCTAGTCTGAATTAGGGAGCAAATTTAGCAATGTGAAAATTCACTTTCATTCCAAACCTCCCTCTTTCCCAGGTATTGTTCTAAAATAAATCAGTAGGCATTTGGTATTCCAGATCTTTCCTGGCTGAGCCAAGAGTTGCACTGGACCAGGAAGTCTGTGTGAATCACAAAGGCATCCAGACTAGAGATGGCTCCTCCTGTTGCTTCCTTTCCTGAATTTTCTGAACAGGCTACCTGGGCTGCTTGGAGCGTTCGCGCAGCTGTGGACGCTGGGTGTCTCTTCTAAAACTGAAACCCAGGCTTTGCTTTCTCTCCACCCACACAGCTCATTTGAGTAGAAGAATGAATCATTTTGGGAGAAATGAAAGAGAGTTTGGGTGGTGGGATCAGGCTCTGGTTTCCAAACCCATATCTCCCCAGAGCTGGGAATCCACCTACATAGCTCCCCACTCTCCACTCCTCTGCTGCCTGGAAAAGGAAAACTTTCATTAATCATGCAACAAATGTTTTTCAGGTTTGAAAAAGCTTCACATGTATACATCATGTTAGGGCTTTAAAAATGCCAATGAGGGCCTCACTGTACTATGAAGCAATCCGCAGCCTCTGCAACATGAGTTCCATCCCTGGCCAGGGAGCAACCCACATGGTGCAGCAGACCTCTCCTGACTCACCCGCTACTCCCCTCAGCAGTGTATTTCGGTCAGTCTGCCTGTTCTGTTCCCCACTCTGTCTCTGGTGAATCCTCTCACCCTCCTGCATCTCTGGCCTGTTCCCCAGCCCTTGTATGCATAAATAAATAAATCCTTAAAACAATATTAAAAAAAAAAATGACAGTGAGTTTCAAGATGAATCCTACTGTTACTCAGCATGACTGGATCCGAAAAAGCCAAACTTTTTGAATGGGGCTGTGGGTTGGCACCACTTCTCAGCACGTGCCCACCGAGATCTCTAGGATCCAGCTGTTTCTCTTCTCCAGCTGCCTACATGTAATTCACTGGTTTTTAACCCTAGCCACATATTAAAGTCATTAGGGAGATTAAAAAACATAATTCACTTCCAGGAATTTTTGTTTAACTGGTCTAGAATGGAGCCCAGCAATGGTGGTTGTTAAAGCTCCCTAAGTGGCCCTAATTGAAGCCACGGTTGACAGCCACTCAACTCTGTCCTTCCCAGATCCCTTTCTGAAGCAAAGAACTTTCTCCTAGCTAATCCTCCGGTCACCAGCTACACTGAGACTCCACCACTCCCCTCTCCGCTTCTTCATCAGAAACTACAACTTTTCAAATTAATATGACTGCTTAAGAAAGTTGTCCAGTTTCTGAACTTTGTTCCTATATTTGGCGAATCTTGTCCTCTCCTTCCCCACCCCCATATGTATGCATTGGAGAGGATTAGGGCTTCCCACTTGGAATCTGAAAATGCCAGATACTTCCTTTTGCAGCCTCCCTTGTAGTTGGGCATGGTTAGGTGACCTAGGCTTCACCAATCAGATGCACCCTCCTCGCTTCTGACTAGGAACTATTAAGACAAAGGAAGAAGGACTCTGGAATCTTCTGGTGACAGTGGTGGTGGGTATCCAGAGTACAGGACCAGTGATAGCAAGGTGCTCCATTTAATATCTGGCAAACCAGTGTTCTCACACAGTTCTCATTCAGTGTGACTTTGGGTCTCATTCATGAAGGCAGAGGCTCAAACTTGGTTCTCTCAATGATTCTCCAAGCACACAGTATCCATTGACAAATTCCTTTCCAGAGTCAGTCTCTGGGTTTCAGATTTGAAATTTTCTGCTTCCATTTTCTTAATTTCCATTCTTCCTTCTAGTTCTATGAATAGACAATCTGGCCAATTAATCTTTCATTTTTATCCTCCATCTGTAGCAGAACTAAATTGAAGCCTGCCCCAAGAGGCTTCTGTCCCTGGACTTAATACATAGTGGCTGCATCCTCAAATCAGCTGTCCTGTTTGTTAGATTTCACACCCTGACGGTACCACACCAACTTTGGGAGGAGACCACTCTTTTCTAATATCATGGGTAGAATTTACTAAAACTCTTCATGCCCTTTAGCTAAAAGCAAAATAAGAAGGAAAACCTAACTTCTTTTTGAGGGTTCTGTTAGTAGAAACCCATCCAGGGTATAGAACAGCTGGTGGAAGCTATAATTGTGAGTAACAGCCTGGGGTGGAGGAGGGTGAAGGGAGCGACGGTCATGTAATATATCTCTAAGCTTCTTCCCTCCATGCTTTGATGATGGTTGAAACATAAAGACTTTGCATAAAACTTTCATCAATGAAAAGGAGCAATTTTTATGTTTGCACTTCACCAAAACACCTTAATTCCATTGCCAGACAGAAGCAGCAATGTACAAGTTAAATATCCAACAAATATTCAAGCACACAGCACATATGATACTGACCTGGCTAAACATGCTAAAAGTGAAACATTCTGTGACCAATCCCCAAAACTCTTTCACTGATTTCTTTTTTTTTTTTTTTAAAGATTTATTTATTTATTTATTTATTTATATATACAAGCACTGGGTACAGTCAGAAGCACGGGAGGGTGAGAGAATTCACCAGAGCCAGAGCGGGGAGCAGAGCAGGCAGAAGGACCGAAGTACACTGCTGAGGGGAGCAGCGGGCGGCAGGAGAGGTCTGTGCGCCATGTGGGACCCTCCTCCGGTGGCCGGGGAGCAGCCGGGGAACGAACCGGTGCTGCAGAGGCCGCGGCAGCCTCGCAACCCAGCGCTCAACCGCTGCGCCACCTGGGAGGCCCTCACTGATTTCTTTAGGAAGCTTTGTAACAGCTCACCAGGAAATCCATCCTGGTGACAGAAGGCCTATGTCTTCCTGTGGTTCCTTCACATTGGGTGTGGGCAAACATTTGCACTCCACATCATTCTAGGAAATATTTTTCTTGAAGGTTTTGGCATCTGGGTGTTAAGGACTTAATGTTTCCTTCAACAACCTCATTTTTCTGCATGTGGCTAACAAGTGTTCCCAGAATCATTGATTGAAGTCTTCAGTTTTTACACAGATCACTTCCCACATCATGAGCGTCTTCTTGAATCGAGCTCCCCCAGGACTTAGGTCGTTACCTAGAAAAGTAGAGCTATTTAAGGATCTGTTGCTTTTGCTTTCTTCCCTTTAGAAAATTTGATCTGAACCCATTTTATAGTTCTGGGTTTCTCATTTGTGAGCTCTTTGAAACTATTCTAAAAGTAAGGGTGTTTTTGCTCTATCTGAAGCTGCCATTCATAACCTTTTTATGTCCTGAGACCCATTTCAATATGTGTCCCTGTTTTAAAAGAATTTGATGAAAAAAATGAGTTCCTGAAGAAACATTTGTAATTTCCTCTGCCTTTGGGCATAATTTTCTAAAGACATAAATGACTAGTTCTCCATCAGTCACACAGGTGGTGGGAGTGGAAACTGGTCCAACCACTATGGAGATTTCTTGAACTACTAAACATAGAGCTTCCATATGATCCAGCAACTCCACTCCTAGGTATTTACTCAAAGGACACAGAAACATCAATTCCAAAGGGCACCTGCACCCCTATGTTTATAGTAGCACTATTTACAATAGCTAAGCTTTGGAAACAACCCAAATGCCCAAAAATAGATGACTGGATCAAGAAGATGTGGTACATATACACCATGGAATATTATTCAGCAATCAAAAAAGATAAACACATGCAGTTTGCAGCAACATGGATGGAGCTAGAAGGGATCATGCTCAGCGAAATAAGTCAGAAAGAAAAAGAAAAATATCAGATGGTCTCACTCATAGCAGGAATTTAGAAAACCTAAATAAGAGACCAGGAAAAAGACTAATCAATACAAAGTAAAAATCAAAATCAACAAGCAACTATAAACCAGAGACACACTACGGGGGTGGGGGGGAAGGGAGGAGCAGGAAAAGGAAGGACTAGAGTCAAAATAAGGGGGGAAGTGCAATTGTATGGAGAATATAACCAAAATAAAAATGCATACATTGTGTAAAGATGAAAAAAAAAATGTAAGAATTATATAAAATAAGATATTTAAATAAAAAAAGATGAAAAAAAGAGAGAAATAGGTTCAGAGGACTGTGGTAGGGATAAGCAGATTTAAAAGAAAAATTGTATATTTTATTTGATTAATAAAATCATTTTTAATATTTAATACACACCAGAAAAAAAAAGAGTGAAGTTCTGAATCAGACCAGCTGGGTTTGAATGTTGATGTTACTATTCACTCCTTATGTGATTGGGAAAATTATAAATCTTCCCAAGTATATGAAATGCTGATAATCATAGTGCCTCTCTTGAGCTGTTGTGAGGATTAAATGAGATAATTTATGAAAATCTTTTAACATAGAACCTAGTTAAAAAAAAAGGAACAATTAAAAGGTAGCACTTTATGCTGCTGAAGCTTCTGATGGGAATGTGATGTGTTACTGTACTGCTTAGAATAATGGGCATTGAAACAAACAAAACTCTTACATATTTGCTGGCTACTTTGTACCAGACACCCTGCAAATAGAATTCTACTTCATTTTCGAGAAGAGTCTAGTGGCTATTATTTCCAGTGGGGAAATTTTCCCAGTGGGGAAATTCAGAATCAGAGAGGTTAATAGCTTGCATAAGATCACAAAGTGGTGAATCAGACCTTGAATCAGGGGCCCTGGTAGCTGTTCTCTCAGTTCTTGTCTTTGGTGAGGAAAGAATTCAAAATCGAGTCGAGAGCAGAGTTACAGAAAAACAAGAGATGTATTGACAGAAAAGGAGGAGGACAGGAAAGCTGTCTGTGAGGAGAGAGGTCCCAAAAGTGTAGCTGCTGAGAGGCAGGAGTTTATATGGATATGGTGGGCAAGGAGTAGGGGCTCGGCCATTGAGTGTCTCTGCATTGTGTCTCTCACTGATTGGCTAGGGCCGTGGGGTCTCCTCAGGTCCACTGAGTTTCCCACGTTACCTGGCCTGCCTCCTGGAACCAGCTTTGGCTTCTTGCTTTAGTGTCATGTTATTGTGTTAGTATTCTAAAAATTCCATTTGTAATTGCATGGGGGGAGGCACCATCCTGGTCCCATGATTGTTTCTCAATCAGACTAGTAAATGGACTTAGGGCACCTGAAGTTAGGGGTACCCTCCTGTTCCTTGATTGTTCGTTATTCAGATTGATAAATGGGCAGATTGATTAGTGGGCTTGGAGGCTTGCGGCACTCTTCCTCACTGACTGCCTATACCCACTTCCTAACATCCTCATACATTGGGGTTAGAGAGTAATATCCATGAAAGGGGAAGTTTTCATGTACCCTGCCCCACCTAAGGAAGGGCGGAGCTGAGATGGGAGGAGAAACAGAGGGAAGACTTGGAAGAACACATGGAGGAGGCGCATGGAGCAGAGACCTGTGAGGAAGAAGGGTGTGTTTGCTTCTCAGCTTTGGACTTGCACCAGGGACTTGGGGGACATGGAAAGAGAGATGCGGAGATGCTGGAGAGAGATGTGGGTGAGAGACCTGTGGGGAGGCTGACAGTGGCAACCTTTAACTTGACTTGTACTTTGATTTTGTTCCTTTCGTCCCAGACTTGCCTGGCCCCTTCTGCCCTTTTCCTGTGGTTCCCTGCCAGAAGGTAACTTAGACTTGTGGCAAGTTTTCAGGCCTCTGCAACCCCACTTTAAACCAACCTTGTTTGGCTGGGCAAATACACAGGAGTGGAGAGGTAACTTTGGATATTCTATTGGAAAATGAGTATCCTTTCTTCTCTTCTCTATGTATACTAATCCTATTAAAGTTCTTTCACACTGAGAGCTGCTTTGTTTTTATGAGGCAGATGGCAGAACCCATTTAGAATGTGCAGGTTTGAGGGTCCTAGGGTGCCCCTCCGTCTGCCCACTAAGAGTGGGAAAATGACTGAACTGCAAGTTGAACCCGACTCTTTCAGGCTTTAAAATATATCTAGCCTTTCTATACTCTCCAAATAGAATTCTAGCTCACAGCCAAGAAACACATCATTTAGTTAGACTATATAATCTTATTTTACACAAAAGAGCCACTTCCATTATGCTTATCAAAGTCTTGAACATAGTACTTGTACCACTCCCCTACACACACATACACACACACACACAGAGCTACCATTATCATAAACCTCCAGGGAACTACTGATCAAGATGGATCCAAATCTGTGTCTATACATAAATTTTGTAAGTGGCAGCAAAGCAAAGTCAGGAAATGCAAACTCAAATATTCTGCACCATTGGCTTCTGGGTTACTAGAATCTTCAGGCGGCAGAATATGTCCCAAGGAATTTTTATTCTGTGTTAGTCAAGACCAGAGTGGCTTGGGCAGTGCTAAGAACACAACTCAGGGTCTCACATCAGGAGTACTAATGCAGGTTGAAAAGAAACTTATTTTTTCTGGATTTCATATTTGACTTTGTATTTTTTTCATACAAATTGTTTTTCACCGTGACTAGTCTGTCACTAGGGGCTAGATCCATAGATTGTGAAAAATAAGAATTATCTACTTCAAAGTCTGATTTGTCTCTTAGAAACTTTGAACTTCCTTTTAAAAATTTAAATCCAATAGTCATTGTGTCTCTGAGTATCTGCTTTTAGCATTTTAAGTTCCCTAAAGAGGAGGAAATTTCATATTATAAAAATGTGTCAGAAAAATCAGTGGGGCTCCCAATCAAATTTCTCTGACATTCTCTCTTGGAGGTCTACCATGAAGGACACGATGCCAGAGCTGGTGTCATTTAGAGCTTTTGAAATAGGCAGCTAATTAATATACAGAGGAGATGAAAAAATCTAAATGATTCATTAACTCAAAGGAAGGTACACACTGAATATTAAAGTGATGGAATTCCTACTTTGGCCCAATTTAGCTTCTCTCTCAATGCTTAGGCAGGTATTTTAAGAAACCAATGTAGATGCCTGACACATCCTTGTTTCTGACAGCTACCCAGGGTTTTTAGCACTTTGGCTCAAAAAGAAAATGAGGGTAAAATAAAGTCAGAGGAACTCAGAGTGGCAAACCATACCACCGTGAAATGCTACCAATTAGAATATAAGATTGTGGTCTTTGATTATAAAATACCCATGGCAGTATTGTCATAATCATCTACCAGAAGAACTTGACTCTGGAATAGAAGTCTCTTGCAACAACTCCCCCCACACACACACCTGCTCACTCACTCCCCAAATTCCTACAGGAATTTATCAGGAAACACTGATCAAAGAGGGGGCAGGTCTTTGCTGAGGCAGGAGGCAGCTGGTCCACAGAACCATGCATTAAATACAACTTGAGACATTGTCCTTTCCTGCCTGAAGGAGGTTCAGATGTCATGGAGCATTCACAAGCAACAAAAAAGAAGATAATCTCATACTGCTGGTGTAACCTGATGAAATGGGCTGTGTTCCCTTCAACTTTCAGCTCTCAGTCTTGGGATTTGTTTGAGAGACCCTCCTTCACTGCTCGAACATTCTTGAGGTCTTCCAAGGTGGTATCACTTCCATCCCCAAAAGCATTTCTTGGTCTCTTGTACCTCTTCTAAAAGGTGTCCAATCTCTCTTCTCACTCACTTGCACTTCTCAAAAGTCATGCAGACCAGTTTCACTGATCTACTGCACGAACATTCATTGTTTGTCTTTATTGTTTTAAGACCTTGCTAGGTACTAGGGATCCAGCGAGGAATAAAGAATTCTACTGGAATGAGGGCACAGAGGAGTAAATGCCAGTCCTGCGTGATTAGGCCTAAATAGAGATATGTACTGTTTTCTCTGGAAGCACTGGGGAGAAGCTCCAATTCAGCCTTGACAGCTCAGGAAGACTTTTCTCAAGGAAGTAACCCTAAACCTAAAAGACTAGTAGGAAGAGGTCAAGACTGAGTAACTGGGGAGTCCAGGGTGGAAGGTGAGGACATTGCAGGCAGAGGCATAGATATGCTTATGGAGAGTAGAGAGTCCTACTCAACTTGGACATGATTTCATCATTAACCCAATAAATTGGTATGCACCCATCATTTATACTTCCCATTTTATAACCAAGTCATTTTTGTGAATCAAGTTATTTCTTCAAAACTATTTGTGGAACTCTCCATTTCTTCTTCAG